AACCTCAAACTCCTGGGCTCAAGCGATCCTCCTGCCTCAGCCTCCTGAGTAGCTGGGACTACAGGCATGCGCCACCATGTCCGGCTAATTTTTTCTATATATTTTTAGTTGTCCAGCTGATTTCTTTCTATTTTTAGTAGAGATGGGGTCTCGCTCTTGCTCAGGCTGGCCTCGAACTTCTGAGCTCAAATGATCTTCCTGCCTCGGCCTCCCAGAGTGCTAGGATTACAGGCATGAGCCACCCACCCCCCTGCCTAATATAATCATTTTTAAAGTGAACAATTCAGTGTCATTTGTTAATTTTACGATGTTATGTGACAACTACCACCTCTCTCTAGTTCCAGACTTTTTTGAGTCTGGGCTGGAGTGCAGTGGTGTGGTCATAGCTCACTATAGCCTCGAACTCCTGGGCTCAAGGGATCCGCCCGTATTAGCCTCCCGAGCATCTGGGACTGTAGGCACAAGCCAGTGCACCTGGCCAAAACATTTTTATCACCCCAGAAAGAAACCATACACCCACTAAGCAGACCCCAACCCCCGCCCCCCGCATTCCCCAGCAACCACCCATCCGCCTTGCATCCCTGTGGATTTTCCTGTTCGGCACATTTTATTTGAGTGGAGTTGCTCAGGGTGTGGCCTTTTGTGATTGGCTTTTTTCACTCAGTTGGATGCTTTTGAGGGTCCTCCACGTTGTTCCGTGTGTCAGTGCCTCACTCCTGCTCATGGCCATATAATGTTCCACTGCACGGATACCACATTTTCTTTATTCATTTGTCTGTCGATGGCCACTGGGCTCTTGTGGATGATGCTGCTACGAACACGGATGCACATGTGTTTGTTGGTTGTGCATGTCGATTTTTTTTCTAGAGACGGGGTGTTGCTCTGTCACCCAGGCTGGAGTGCAGTGGCCGATCACAGATCCTGAGCTCAAGCGATCCTCCTGCCTCAACCTCCCGAGTAGCTGGGACCATAGGTGTGGGCCACTGGGCTTGTCGGTTTTGACTCCAAACCACAATGATGCTGCCCCACAGCTTCCCTAGCTTGTGCCTGTGCCACCAGAGGCTCAGCCCAGATGCCCCGGTGTTGATCTTCATCCTCTCCAGTCTAAGGACCGTCCATCCCAGCCATCAGCCCTGCCAGCCTCACTCTGGAACATCTCCTAAGCCCTCCCACCACCACTTCCGCCACCTCTGCCCGTGGGCTCCTAGCCAGACCGTCTTTCTAAACCCTTTATCAGAAGGCACGCCCCTCCCCCCAAAGACAGACCACCTTGAAGTGGTTCCTATGGCAACCAATGTACATTTAAACTCTATTTCACTGAGACCCTGTGTGATCTGTCCCCAGCTCACAGCTCCTCCCATCCCACCTGCATTCCCTATGCTACCACCACCTTGGCCTTCTGTCCTTCAATCGGTGCTGACCTCACGCCTGTCTCACTGTCCCTTCTTCTTGGAACACTCCACCCCTCGGGGTCACTGTGGCCACCCACTCTTGACTCAACTCAGGTGGCACCTTCCTCCAGCCACCCAGGTAAATCAGCAACCCATTAACTCTCTTTCACTTTACCTTATTATATTTGCAGCACAGCATTATAAAACTATGATTATCTTACATACTTGTGTTTTGTCAGTCTTGTCCCCTGGAACAAACTCTGTGGGGGCAGGTGCCACCACTAAGCCCAGCAGCTGGAACAGAGAGCACAAGAGAGGTGCTCCCTGCACATCTGCTGGATGCCAGCCACCACGGTAGGGGCCCGGAGTTGGGACGGCAGTGCGGTGGGGTCAGGCAGTATTTAGTAAGGTGCCCACCCCAGCCGGGTGTGTTTAGAGATGCTGTGCCTAGAAAGGAACAGCATTTAATACCAGGTGACAGGCGGGGACGTCTGGCAGGAAGTCACTCTTCTGGATGGCCTCTTGCCCCTGCGATCGGATCCAGGTTTCTTCTATCTGGGACATCAACTCCTGCAGTGATGACTCAGGTGAACCCAGCCCAGCCGAGCAGCGCTGCCCCCGGACCTCCTCCACTCCTGGAAAAGCCAGCCACACCAACCTTCTCCACCCTGACTCCAGCAGCCAGCGTGGGCAGAAGAAAAGGGACGGGTTAGGTTCTGAGAGGTGGCAACTTCTGGGCTATTCCCATCTTGTCTGCAGCAACTGCCAGAGCTCACGATGCTCCTGACTGGCCGGGACTGTGTCCTGTGTCCCTCCCTCTTGCCCTGGATGTCCACGCAGTGAGCAAGGCAGCAACTATTTCCTGAACACCCACTGTGGGTTAGGAAAACAGTAGGGACTAAATAGATGTGGCCCCTGCCCTCCTGGAGATTAGACCTCCTCCCCAAAATAGAAACGGTGTGGGAAGTGAGGTGCCAAGACAGCAAGCAGCCGAGACAGGGCTTAACCCGTCTGTGTACCTTCGAGACTGGGAGGCCTCTTTTCTTGACCGAGGGGCCCAGGGAAGAAGAGCCCAGGCTCTATAAAGCCACTGTTTAGGGAACTCAGAAATGGGCTTCGAAAAAGAAGGCCTATAGGCCTTGCTATAGGGCACTCAACTTCTCAGACCGGACCTTAATTTTCCATCAGTAAAAGAGATAAGATAAGATATATGTCTGTACCTTTTACTTGGAAAGGTAATTGAGGTTTTTGATAAGAATTAAAAGATTAACCTGGAAGTTTAAGCAGGGAACTTGTGTACGGATAGCCGAGCGGGTGGTCAATTCTTGCTTTTTAAGTAGACGCTATGCACAGCATAACATAGCTACACAGAACAAATATTTTATTAACAAATAGGTTACATGACTAAGACATGTTCTCAGCACACAACTGACTAGACTGTAACTGCCTACTATCCACAAAAGAAAATGAGGGCCTTCGAATCACTGACACTGTGAGTAATTTGGTGAGCATCACGTAGACCTTGTAAAAGCAGGCACGGTATTTTAACAAGGAAAATCTCTTCTACTGAGAGTTCTTATTCTTGTGCCGTTACCCACATTCCCCTCTCCTACATAATAAAAACACAGGTCTTCCACGACCTACTGCACTGCCTTCTAGCTCTGAGTTCTCCCAAGAGTGGACTTACACTCCTTATTGTCCCAGGGCCCCTTGGTGTCTAAGAAAAGAGGCCTCCTGGTCACAGAGGTGGACGGGCCCATTACGTTTCATCCCAGCACCCCGTCTCTGGCACCTCACCTCCCACGCTGTTTATATTGGGGGGGCAGTTATCTCACCCAATTAATCTGAAGGAGGGAGGGACCATGTCCGTTTATGCCCCATCATTTCCCTAGAGCATCGTTCACCCAGTGATTGCGCTGAGTCCCAGCTCCTGTCATTTTCATGAACTCTGGGCTAAAAAGCTATTGGCTCTCCAAAAAGGAAGAGGACTCTAAAATGAGATTTCAGACATGGCATAAACAACATCACCAGAAAAATGGTGTAAAATGTTTGATCATTTACTCACAAAAATGTGGAGGAAAACCACAAATCTAGGCAGACCACGAATAAGATTAAAAACTTTGAACAAGTGCAAGACAGCCAATGATCCTCTTTGCACTTAGCAGAACAGTGTAATAATTTAATACTAGAATTCTTAAAGTCAGTAATCCTCACTTTACTTTTTTCTCACCCTTCCAGCGTTTATTAAGTACATAGAGCAGCAGTCCAATAATATAGTTAAAATTTTTTCTGTAGCCACACTTCAACACATAAAAAGAAACTGACGTAATTAAATAGCATATTTTATTTAAGCCAGTCTATCTAAAATATTATTTCAACAATCAACATGAAAATTATTAATGAGACTGTAAGACAAAGTAGCAAACCTTGGATGTCGTGTTTGTTCCTTTCTACTTGCCAGCACAATTTCGCAACCCTGACTGGTCACAGCCTGCAGCTCTCTGGAGGGATGGCTTGAAGGCAAAACAATAGAGCACGCGGCTCCCTGTCACTTGCCTGTGTCGCTGTATTCCTTAAAAGGTAAATGACCCTGCTCCTTGCTTTGTCCTACCATAAGACAATAACTGGTTTGGGACTGCGCCGCGGTACTCTGTAACCAGATGAGCTCTCACACCCGCGCCTCGACGTGATTCTGTTTCTGAGCAGGTCTGGCGCGGTTCTGCACGTGCCGAGCCCGCCGCCGGCATCTAGCAGTGGCCGGGGGGCCTGTGCCCCAGCGACCTCCCTGAAGGCTGTTCTGGACGGTGGGCCTCGGTCCACAGTCCTCGGTAAGACTGCTGCACAAAACTAATTTTAACTCTTTGAAAGCTTAATGTTTTTTCTTTAGTCGACAAGATACTTTACATCTGTGTCTTGCACTGCGTCACTGGCGTCCGCGGGCAACCGTGGGAGGGTAAGCACCTGCACCTCCACGTCCAGGTCCGAGACAGACGGTCGGCCCTGCAAACCTGAACATTCCGGCGGCAGCGGCACCCCGCAGGCACGCTCGCCGGCGGGCCAATTGTCCGGTACCCAGCTCTCGGAAGCGCCTGGCGGGCGGCCGCGGTGACCGAGCCTTCGGCCCGCGCTGTCACAACGCCGCCCTCCTGAAGGACGACAGAGCGACGGACTCAGGCCGGAGACCCGAGCGCTAGTTACTCCCTCTGGGCGGAACCGCAGGGGACTTCGCGCCGGGCAGAGGCACCGCGCTCCGCCGTCAGCCTGCTCCCGGGAGCTCGGGTTCGACATCCCGCCCGATAGACAGATAACACACAACCCGGCGCATGCTTAAGACACCTGTCCCCCACCCGCTCCGCACACCCTTTATATGACAGTGCGCTGCCCGCCCCTCGCGAGACCCCGCGGGAGCTCCATATCGCGCGAGAGTAGCAACACCGCCCCTTTCCCGGAAACAAACGCCGTTTCCCGTTTCACGTGACGAGGAACGCCCCGCCCCTCCCACGGCGCGACCTCGGCGCACGCACGCACGGTCGTACGACCAACGCTCGCGCGCGCGGTGACATCATCCCTCTTGGCGGCGGCGCCGCGGACCTACTTCCGGTTTCAGTCGCGGCGCGCGCACTGCTCTCTGCGGGTCGGAATCATGGCGGCCACGGCCACGATGGCGACCTCGGGCTCGGCGCGGAAGCGACTGCTCAAAGAGGAAGACATGACCAAAGTGGAATTCGAGACCAGCGAGGAGGTGGACGTGACGCCCACGTTCGACACCATGGGCCTGCGGGAGGACCTGCTGCGCGGCATCTACGCCTACGGTCGGTGGGCGCGGGCCGCGGGGCAGGCCGAAGGCGCGGGCGGGAGCGCGGGGCCGGCTGGGGGTCCCGGGGGCGCGGGCGGGGATCCGTCCGGGCTACTGGTCCCTCAGCAGGGCCAGGGCCGAGGCTCCGGGCCCGATGACGTGCGACCCTCGCCCCCGGCACCCGGTCGCCCCCTGATTCGCGTGGGTTCGTTCGGTGCCTGCTCCTCGTGCAGGGAGGGCGCCGAGCTGGGTCCAGCAGGGGCTGCAAAGTCTTCCCGGCGCTTCCGAGTCATTCGCTCAGTAGATAACTTTTGTATCTGTTAGTTGCTGTGGGCATTGGGGATTTAGCGGTAAACCAGACAGGTTCGTGCCGTTACGGAGCTTAATTTTCTTTGGGAGAAGGACAACATAAAACCAAGGTTGCTTCAGGCATCTGTTGTTGCTATGGGGAGCATAAAGCGGGGTGATTGAGTAGAGTAGGACTTCGGGGAGGAAAGAATTAGTGGAGCAGATAGGCGAGGGGGCTGCCAGGAGGGGATGACACTTGAGCTGAGATCTGGACGAGGAGCCCGTTATGAGGAGAGGGAGGAGCAGTCAGGGCAGAGGGAACAGCTGGTGCCAGGGCCTTGCAACCCTTAGCCGGGTGCGTTCTAGGAACAGAAAGAAGCTCCTCGTGGTGGAATTTTGGAGGGACAGGCAGGAGCCCAGTTAGTGAAGACACATGGTGATGAAGACTTTGAACTTCATTTCTGAGTGCAGTGGAAAGCCACTGGAGGGTGTTAACAGCAAAGCAGCATGATCAGATTTACAGTTTCAGAGGCTATTCTGGGTGTCTGGACTTGGGGTGAGGTGAGGAAGGAGAGGAAGCAGGGAGATGAGTTGGGAACTTTTGCTCCAGTCCAGGGGAGAGGCGGTGATGGTGTTCGTTGGAGATGGAGTACATGGCGCTGACGGTCTTGGCTGATGGATTGAATGTGAGCGGCAGAGGAGGGAAGACTGGAGCGTGAGCCCTTGGTGTTCAGAGTAACTAGGCGGGTGCTGTTGCAGACATCTGCTTAGATAGGCAGCCCCCGAGGGAGGCAGAATCGGGGGCTCTGCCTTGGTCTGTCTGAGAAGTCTGTGCTCCATCCTGTTGGAGATGTTCTGCAGGCAGGTGTCTGTAATAAGTTGGGAGCCTGGGGAAAAGGTCGCGTTGGGGACGCAGATGGGAATTACCAGCATTGATTGTGTTTAATGCCTGGAACTGAAACATCTTTCATCCAACGGTTCTTGATGCCCGTCTAGACAAAGTGGATTGTAGTTGCTGAGGTAATGGGAGATGACAAGAAAGCACCGCAGCCAGGCTTCACTGAGGCGGACAGCCCTACCTGCCTTCTTGGCACCAGGGCGTCCCTGCTCTAAGACACCTTTATTGGTTTCACATCCATGTACTTCATGAGTTTAAGTCACCTGTTATATTTACTTTTGTGTTGAGATGGGAAATTGTACTACATTTTTAAAAAGACTACCAAAAAATTAAAAGAGAATTTTGTACTTAAAGTTTTATTTGAGTGCTTAAAAAATACTTTTTTTTTTTTTTTGAGACAGAGTCTCACTCTATTGCCCAGGCTAGAGTGCCGTGGCGTCAGCCTAGCTCACAGCAACCTCAAATTCCTGGGCTCAAGCGATCCTCCTCCCTCAGCCTCCTAAGTAGCTGGGACTACAGGCATGCGCTACCATGCCTGGCTAATTTTTTCTATATATGTTTTTAGTTGTCCAGCTAATTTCTTTCTATTTTTTTAGTAGAGACGGGGTCTTGCTGTTATTCAGGCTGGCCTCAAACTAATGAGCTCAAACGATCTTCCCGCCTTGGCCTCCCAGAATGCTAGGATTACAGGTGTGAGCCACCACGCCCGACCAAAAAATACTTTTTGTCCTTCAAAATAGTCTCAGCCCTTGGTAGTAATTGCTGTACAAGAAAGATGATGCTGTAGTTAATGCAGAACAGCACTGGACACCCCACAGCATAACCCAGCAGATCAAGTACAGTTGTAGACCACAGCAGCAATGCGTAGACTTAATGCTAGCTGATAGGGAAGAGCAGTGACTACAGTGCTACTGGACTTTGTTTTTTTAATTTAAAAAGTGATACAAAAAAAAGTAGGCTGTTTGTGATATCATCAAACAATACAGACATAATTAGAGTAAAAAGTGAGCCTCTCCCCACCCTGCTCTTCAGTGGTAACCACCAATGACGTTTGATGCCCATACTTCCAGAACCTGCAAGCCCCAGAGATTTTTTTTAAAACAAAACTGGTGTCTATATATTAAACAATTTGATGTTCCTTTTACAAATATTTTAGTTTACGGATAGTATCCCATATTAGTATAAAAATCCACTTCGGCCCAATTCATTGAGCTCCTGCGCCTCCAGAGCTTACTATAACAAACATTGGGTCAGGCTGGGGGGCGGGGTTAGTAGGGGTTGATGGTTGAAAAAACAAAAACCATTTGAGGAGTTTATGGTACATGGTTTTAATGCTGTCATCATGGTGAGAGCTAATTTTTTCTGTCTCGTCTTGCAGGTTTTGAAAAACCGTCAGCAATCCAACAGCGAGCTATCAAGCAGATAATTAAAGGGAGAGATGTCATCGCACAGTAAGTTGCCCTGCTGCGCAGAGCGGCAGCTAGACCTGTGGCGGGGAAACATAGTGATTCGATGCTTTGTGAGGACAGCTCTGTCTCCCAGTTTCTGTACACTCGGGACCAGCTCTTTGCCTGACTTTGGTCGCAGGATTTTAAATTTTTTTAATTTTTGTGTTCTCTAACATAGAAGGTTTTGTTTTAAATTTTTTTAGCCAGCTTTGCTTAGCTATCAGTCGGCATGTGGAATTGTGTATAATGTTCTTTTAATAGCTTTATTCTTCATGTGCCTGCTTTCTAAAAAGCCTCTATCATAAAATTATTTAGAGGACAGTTTTAGTCCAAAATCATAGAAAAGAATTGTATTTGCATAAAAGAGAGTCTCCCTTTTTCTGCCACCTATTAAACACCTCTTGAAGTTACAGACTGTACGGCTCCATAGCCCGCGATGCAAAAGCCACATTTACTAGCCTTGTGGAGATTTAAAAACTGTGATGCTGTACCTGAGTCCTACCCCGTGCTATTCAGATGATGGGAGGGGAGGAGGCATCTGCTTGGCAGAAGCAGCCTCAGTGCCTTTGGAGCCCACCCCTTGGAGTGAGGTGCAGAGGGGGACAGTGGCACAGGTCCCCCCTATAAATCCCACTTACCGTGTTTTCTCGAATAGGTCTCAGTCTGGCACAGGCAAAACAGCCACCTTCAGTATTTCGGTGCTTCAGTGTTTGGATATTCAGGTAATTTGCCATCTTAAACTGCTCTGTAATCCTAGGATATACTTGCTTTTTCTTCTGTAATTACTGTGTTCAAAAAATACAATTTTAAAATTCTCTAGTTGTACTGACTTAAATATGTTAAGAAAATCTTAATTGCACATTAATATCTGAGCTAACTAATATCCTGTCATAACTATTTTGTTTAAACTGAGAATTTTTAAAAAAAAATAACTAGAGGAAATTCTTGTTGGCAAACAAGAATCCTGACTGACATGTCGTGATTTTTGCTGGATTCGCAATGTAAATAATGTTAAGATTTGCTTACCTCTGTCAGAAATCAGAGTATGGTTAATGTGAGATAATATTTAAAGTAGATCTGGGTGTGAGTTCCTGTGGTCCCTCTTGACAACACTGAGGATTCTTTTTTTCTGATCGACTGTTCCACTAGGTTCGTGAAACCCAGGCTCTGATCTTGGCCCCCACACGAGAGCTGGCTGTGCAGATCCAGAAGGTGAGGGTGTTAGAGGTGGCGGGGTCCTGTTTGCAAGTGTCCTTTTGTGATTGACTGTAAAGCACCAGCTGATTTATGTAATCTAACCTCGCTTTTCAGTTTCCTTAAAATTTTTTCCCGGATTTCTAACATTTTGATGTAAATCATTGTATATTATTACGTCAATTGCTGGTTTGCGTTAGGTCATTTTTAGCGTAGCTTTTAGTTTTCAGGTTTTTGCAGCCTTAGGAATGTGCTTTTTTAACAACAAAATCCCTTTTAGTAAAAACAATTCTAATTGTTTTATACTTAGATGTTAGTTAATATTTTGGAAGGATATAAAGGTGTTAATGTTGCCTTTGGTAGGTATGGTTATGAATTTTATGTACTTTTCTGTAATTAATATGTATTGCTTTTGTAATGAGAAACCAGCAAAATTAACTTCATTTTGGCAGAGAAAAGACTAGGAGGAGAATTTTGTAGTTTTATGGTACAAATAGTGACATTAATCTCCATTTTTGGAAGATTCTGATGTTTCTGACTTTATAATGCCCTGGGACGTGAACCTGGTTTTGATTCAGGGCCTGCTTGCGCTCGGCGACTACATGAACGTCCAGTGCCATGCCTGCATCGGAGGCACCAATGTGGGCGAGGACATCAGAAAACTGGATTATGGACAGCACGTTGTCGCAGGCACCCCGGGGCGTGTCTTCGGTAAGCACTTTTGTCTGTAGAAAGTGTGCTGTAAGTGGTAATTGCAAGAAGTGCTGAAGTGATACACGACAGTTTTCAGTTTGGGGTGCTGCACGGTGGATCTGGGTCACTGGAAGGGGATGGTCTCTGACATGCTGTGAGGCCAGCTGGAATGGCCAGCTCTTTCCTTGTAGCCACGGGTGTAATTGTTTCAAAATCTAATTTTATAGATATGATTCGTCGAAGAAGTTTAAGGACACGAGCTATCAAGATGTTGGTTTTGGATGAGGCTGATGAAATGTTGAATAAAGGTATGAGTAACAAGAATTTTCTACTGACATAATTCTTCTTGAATTTTCACAGGATGAAATTGAAGTATGTAGCTAATGGAAGCATTCTGAGTATGAACAGTATTTTCTTTATGGAAAAACAGTTGTGCCTTGGGGGGCAATTATGAACATAAACTTCCTGGTTTGCTTTTTTATGGTGTGGGTTTGCGAGACCAATCACAGCCAGGACAGCGGCATCTCTGCCCAGACCGATGGAGCGCATCGCGTTCAAGTAGGTGGGCACAGCCGCAGTCAGGTGCAGGGTTGAGACAGAGCCCTTGGGGACAGACGCCTGGCCTCAGCGGGGGGTGGGGGGATGACCATAAGTGCCAGTGAGTTTGTTTTGGAAGCACAGCGCTCTCCTGGTGCTCACACGTTTATCCTGTGAGCAGCGTGGCTCTTCCCCTGCTCAGGCTACAAAGGACGAAAATGCCTCTGCATATAATTAATTTTTATAAAATATATACACAAAAAATGGTTTTCTAAAAAACATGTTTTATTTATTAAAGCTAATCAAGTGTGACTGAAAAGCTGTTATACAGAATTTAGGTAATATAGAAAAGTATGCCTCCTCCCACCAAGGGAAAAGAAACACCCACAATCCCACTACCTAGAAAAAGTGTCATTAACATACGGTGAACCTCGTTCTAGACAGGTATGTGGACGTGTTTGCGTACACACATACATAGACTGCCCCCTGTGAAAGACGAGGATGTTACCGTCCTTGCCTGTGCCTGCCAGTGTGGCTGGTTATGTGACTTTCTACGTGCACGTTCACATCCCTTTGCCCGCGCCCAGCCTTGGGCACATCTGTGACCTCGCGCAAGGGCGAGTTCTCCTCCTTTTTGTTTGCCTTCCACCGTTCTCCTGCAGGGTTCTCTGAACTCTTCTTAAAAAGTGGAGTGGAGCACTTACTAGCCACACAGTCTTGTTGGGTGATTGCTTTGCTTTCGAAATAAGAAACCAGCGAGACCAGCACTTAAGCTTGAGTGCGTTTCAGTTCTCTTCATAGTGTTTCTGTTTTAAGCGTTTGTATAATAGAAACTGTTCTTAAAGGAGGATGGTGTAGAGGTGAAGGGTTTTGTTTCTGACATGAACCCGTGACCTTCCTAACGCTAGTCTGGAGGTGAGCTGCTTGTCCTTTAGGGTCCGGTAGAAGAGCTAAGTGTCCGCGCCAGGCAGTCCTGCTTTCCTAGAAGAGGTTGACGTCGGCTGCCGTGGCCCGAGAGTTGTGCTGGCTTCACTCTCTCAGGATTCCTGGATGACAGACCCAGACTTAATTTCTTTGAGGTTTTTTTTTTTCCTTTCCTGTGCCACCTGCAGTGGCCCCCTTCCTAAGCCTGTGGGGTCACATTCCCTGTGTACATCTGACTTCTACTCCAAATCCAGGGGTTTGTCCTGGTCGCTGCTCTCCTTTTCCGTACTTCTGCCGTCTGTTGTATGTCTCGAGTTAGTTTTTATCCGGAATGGGGGACAGCCTGCCACGTGGCAGGCCCTGGGGCTGTGAGTGTGAGGGCGCAAGAAAGGGTCACTAGTTCACTCAGCAAATGGGGACCGTTGCTGGCAGCCTGGTCCAGAGGGCCGGTTGTCACGGGAGTATTTAATGTTGCTGGAGGGCCCGAGGGAGCTCCTGGCTCTGCCTGGGAGCCCGGAGAGGCCCAGGAAGTAAGTTCATACCAGGCCTGGCGCTTGGGCAGCAGCCTGGACTCTGACGGACAGGCGGACGGCTGCGGGACAGAGGGCGAGCATTGCAGGGTGGCGGGAAGGGGAAGCCCTCGCCCGAGTGGAGTCGGAAACGGCCCGAGGGGAGTCTTGAGTTGATGGAGGACAAGACCAGAGGGGGCCCAGGCTTTTTACAAAAGCCTTTTATAGTTTTTCGTTACAGAAGTAGAAATATATTCATTGCAAAGACTTAATTTCTAAAAATAAAAATCAGAAAATGGGTTACCAGACCTTTTTATACACAGTTGTAGTTAACAAACTTGGAATCATTTTGTGCGTACCGTTTCATAATCTGCTTTTTAATGAACTTACCTGTCCGTGATAAGAAAAATGCAGCATTTTTTGTGGCAACAGGTGCTCTGTTGTAGGGATGTTCTGTAATTTACGTAGCCAGTTCCGTTTTGTTGGTTGTCTGGGCTGTTTTCTCTCTTGAAGATAGCATTCAGATGTATACTTTTTAGGTCTTTCATGTTCTCCCCAAATGAGGCCAGACAGGTGAGGACCTCTAGGTGATAGCGGATGGTGACGGGGCAGTGTCGCCAGAATGGCGCGAGGCGGCTGGGTTGTGAAGCGAGGATTTTGCTTCCGAGCAGCAGCCAGCAGCGCACGTGGAGAATCCTCTGGGGTCGTTTCCTGGGTCTCGCGTTCCTGAGCAGCTCCTGAGGTGCCCAGAAGCCAGTGCTTGGGCTGCCTCTCGTCCTGAGCTTGGAGTCCCCACCCCCGCCCCGCCCCGCCCCATGCACCTGTCTGGGGCCCTGTGTGAAGGTCCCATCCCTCGGTCAAGTTAAAGGTTCAGCTCCCACAAGGCACTCAGTAGAGTCACTTTCGTGTCTGAGGACGCGTTGGTGCTGGGTGGCTCTTGGGCTCCTGTCCCTTGGGGCAGAGGTTCTCAAAGACAGGTCTCCAGACCAGCGCATCCGTGTCCCCTGGGACCTGTTGGAAATGCAGACTTGGGCTCCCCGGTTTATGGGATGGGAGCCTGCAGTCTGTCAGCAGCCTGCAGCGGGAGGCCGGGCCGCCAGGGGCCTCTCCCAGGCTGGGCAGAGGCTGCGTCGTGGTGACTGGGGCCAGGTCCTGCTTGCCGGCATGTTTCTTCAGCCTGTGCTGCATTAAATAATATAATACAATAAGCTGACGTCTTTTAATTGGGAGATTTTGTGTAAAAATCCAGATCTCTGGATTCTCTTTAAAGTGTGGCAGATGTGGCCACACTGGATGCCAGTCCTCACGGGGAAGCAGCGGGTGGCACTGAGTCGCGACTGCCTTATGGGCTTCTGAGTTGTGGGTGACTCGGGGCTGGCGTTTCTGTCGCTTTTGATGTGTGGCATCTAGGACTCGAGGTGGGCCCATGGTCCCCACAGCACCTCAGATCGAAGACGCACCAAGGAGAAACCGGTACCCTCATCCAGCAAACACCCGGGTCGGTGGATTCTGCCTGGCTCTGCAGCAGGGAGGTACCTGTCGGCGGACCTTGCCGCGGTTCAGCGTCCGCCGAGGTGGGCTTCTGTCGGCAGCTTCTGCCCCAACACACGCAGCCTTAAACACCCTCTGGTGTCTTCTCCTCCAGGTTTCAAAGAGCAGATTTATGACGTGTACAGGTACTTGCCCCCGGCCACGCAGGTGGTCCTCATCAGTGCCACGCTGCCCCACGAAATCCTGGAGATGACCAACAAGTTCATGACGGACCCAATCCGCATCCTGGTGAAACGGTAAGAGCACCCTCTTCTCAGGTGTTACTGAAATACTGGGTTGTATTTGTAAAGGGTTTAAAATAGGAAATTTTTTAAAATTTCCTTTTTTGAAAAACAAGCTATTATAATGCTCTTTCTTCTCTGACCAAGTAATTCCAAATTTAAAAATTAGCTTCCAGTATTTGGTTGTTACCAGTGTGTTTTGTTTAGAACCATATTCGAGGTGGTGCAAATTATGAACAGGCAGATCCAGAAAGCGGGCCTGTGTGGTGGCAGGGGGGACGGGACAGGACTGTGGCTGGGGCAGAGGGGGACGCGTGGTGGCCTGCCTGGCAAAGCTGCAGGCGATGGCGGCGTGGCTCTCCCCAGAGCCTGGCCCGGGCTCGCCCTCGAGTCCCGGTCGGAAGGGCGCGTGTGTAACAGGATCTGTCTCCGTCCACCAGTGATGAATTGACTCTGGAAGGCATCAAACAGTTTTTCGTGGCAGTGGAAAGAGAAGAGTGGAAGTTTGACACCCTGTGTGATCTCTACGACACGCTGACCATCACGCAGGCGGTCATCTTCTGTAACACCAAGAGGAAGGTACGCGGCCTCTTCATTTCTGTGATGGCACTGTAGGGAAATGGAAGATTGAGTCTCTTAACGACTTGGTCAGGCTTTCTCTGGGCAGGGCCGGGTAAATACATACTAGGTTTTCTGGGTACAGGCTCTGTTGGAAAAGCAGTCGTAGGCAGTATTCAAACGAATGTGCGTGGCCGTGGCCCAGTAAAACTTTATTCACAAAAATATCGATGTTGGTCCCGTGCCTAAAGGTTCGTGTTTGATTGGTTGAAGGTGGGACCAGCCCCAGCAGTTTCAGCTCCCCAGGTTATGCTCACATGCGGGCTCTGCTGAGAACCACTGGCCGCTTTCCTGGAAAGGGAAAAGGAGTTGGACCGTGTTCTCACCAGACTTGAATTTAAATTTCAAATGAGAATAATCAGACATGTCCCCCCCAACAAAAGAATCGCTGTATGGAACAAATGAATTAGTAGAGTTTTGTAAACAAGCCCCCATATTCACTGGGCAAAGGTGAGTTTTCTGCACATCCAGTGAAGGTTGGTCTGGGTTGGGAGAGCAGCTGCTTCAGGAGTGTTCATACTGCTTCTGCAAATCGAGATAAAGCCCTGAATACGCAGCTTCCAGTAGCATCTCTGATCTGATTTGTAGGTTGACTGGCTGACAGAGAAGATGAGGGAAGCCAATTTCACCGTGTCCTCGATGCACGGAGACATGCCGCAGAAAGAGCGAGAGTCCATCATGAAGGAGTTCCGCTCAGGCGCCAGGTCAGTCAGTCGGCTGCGCTCTGGTGCCTGGTTCTGGGCGTGCCAGTCCCGGCTGCCTCGCTGTGTTCACTTCACGCGCACCGCCCTGGTGCCATTGCCCCGAAACCCTGGGGGACGCTGCTCCCTCCTCTCACGGCTGAGGCTCGGGGAGAGCGGGGAGCCTGTAGTAAGTGGGGAGGCCTGTGCTCCTGTGCAACATCGGGTTGGGGAGATGACTCACCCGAACCAGCCAGGTTGCTTGCCTTGTTTAGGAGTGTATTTCACCTCCAACTAAGTGGGGGTTTTCTGTTCATCTTTTTGTAATGAGTTCTTAGTTTAATTCCACAGTAGTCAGAGAATGTGGTTTGTAAGGTTTCATTCCTTTGAACTTCATTCCAGCTTGCTTTGTGGCCCAACTTACAGCCAGTTGGAAAGGTGTGCTGGCCAGAAAGGCCGCGCCGGCAGGAAAGGCGGGAAAGGCACGGCGTGCGCTCGCACAGGACACACGTGCGTCAGCGTTAGCCGCTGATCGTGCTTTCAGTTCAGCTGCATTCTCACGTTTTCCTTCACTGCGTTACCAGTGCTGAGAGTGGGTGGACAAGGTCACCCTCTTCGTGGTTGTATTTTTGCTTTACCTAGTCCAAGACTACATGTAATTGTGGAATGACGACATCTGAAGAATTTGGCTTATCGTTGACGTGTCTTTCTCTGTGGCGATCCTTTTTGTCCTAAGACCCGCTTGTCTGATGGAGCCACACAGCTTCGCTTTGGGTGGCGATCACTGAGCACATCTTCTCATCTTTTTACATCCTTTCCGCATCCTTAAGTTTTAGAAGTGTTTCTTGGAAACAGTTTCATGTTTTTGTTTTGGTCTAGTACTTACGATAGTTATCTTGTCATTGGAGCATTTATTCTAGTTTAACTTAATGTAAATACTGATTAACAGTCTTGTGGCACAGCAACGTGTTGGTTGGTGGTGGACTGCGTGTGGGATAGTGGCCCCATACGCTCATGTAATACCGTGGTTTTTAGACCTTTTCTGTGTTTAGAGACACAGGTGCTTCCCATCCAGTTACGGCACCGCAGCATGGGAGCGGGCAGCCTTAGCGCACGGTCTCAGCTATGGTAGGCTCTGCCGTCGGGTTCAAGTCAGTTCACTGTGTGACCACAGCGTCGAAATCGCCGAAAGGCACGTTTCTTAGAACCCATCCCCATCGTTAACTGACCAGTGACTATTAGGTTTTAAATTGATCATCTTGTAAGTGCATTTGTCATAGTTTTTCTGTGGTGCTTTTTTTCCCTATTCCTTTCCTTATTTCTTTCTTATTTTGGAAGATGTGTATGCTTTCATATCATGTAGTAGCTGCCCTATAGTTGTGACATGTTGTCTCTGTTCTCAGCATCTGTTATTAATTGGTACTTTTACTGTCTTTCTAGATAAGCAAGGACCTGGAAGCACTACCCCTCATTTATCCCCCAAACTTAGTATTGTCTTGTATTTTGATTTATTTCTAAGCCCACAAGACATTTTCATTTGCGATAACAACACTTAACTTAGATCCATATTGGCCGTGTTGGTTACTCTCCTCTGTTTCCCTTCATCTCTGAACTTCCATCTGGGATGAATTTCCTTCTGCCTGAAGAATGTCTGTTGTATTTATGTTAATTTGGGTCTGCTGGTGATAATTATCTGTTTTAGTTTGTCTGAAAATGTCTACTCCACTCTGAAATATCTCCTTCAGATGTCTCAAAGGAGGTGCTTGCTGAGAGACAGTCCTGGGTTGGAGGTCAGTTCCATGGTGCAGTTCATTGGGCGTTGGCTTCCATTGCTGCTGTTGGGAGGTCAGCGGCCAGTCTGAGTGTTCCTTTAAAAACAATGTCTTTTTGTAGGATGGTTTGTTTTTCTTTGTGTTTTGTTTTCAGCAGTGTTTACCCTGGTATGTCTAGTGTGGATTTAGTTTTCTTGTCTCTTGTTGGCATTTGTAAGACTTCTGGATTCTCTCAGCCTTAGCATTTCAAATCCTCTGCAGCCCCACTCTCTCTCTCCTGTCCCTCTGGGACTCTGGGTGTGTGTGATGTGCTAGCAGAGACATCTTTCCCATGTTTTGAACTTTCTTCTCCTGTTCTGCTGTCCCCTGATACTCTAACTATCTCTGGACCAGTGACGTCCAATAGAATAGAAGTCAAGCTACACATGTAATTTTAAAATTTCTGGTAGCCACATTAAAATAGGTAAAAAGAAACGGGTGAAGTTTATTCTTTGTGTGTGTGTTTTAAGAGACAGGGTCTTGCTCTGTCACCCAGGCTGGAGTGCAGTGGCGTGATGATAACTCACTGTAGCCTCAAACTCCTGGGTTCGAGCGATCCTCCTGCCTCAGCCTCCTGAGTAGCTGGGACTACAGGCGCCTGCCACTACACCCAGCTAAATGTTTTATTTTTTGTAGAGATGGCGCCACTATGTTGCCCAGGCTGGTCTTAAACTCCTGGGCTCAAGCGATCCTCCCACCTGGGCCTCCCAGTGTGCTGGGATTACAGGCGTGAGCCACCATGCCTGCCTCTATTCTTAATAATGTATTTTATTAAGATATTATATAATTTCAGCATGTAATTAGTATTAAAATATTTATGAGATTCTTTGCATTCCTTTTCTGTACTAAGTCTTCAGAATCTAGTGTGTATCCTGCCCTTACGGCAGATCTCATTTCAGAGCAGCCACGTCTCGGGTGCTCAGTGGACATGTGGGGCCCCGACCTCCGTGGCGAATGGCACAGCGCTGCGCCTTGTCACATTCCGAGGCGTGGAGTGGTCTGAGTTGCATTTCAGATCTGAAAATAGTACAGCAACTGAACCAAAATCAGTGAGGTTATGCTTCTTAATTGAAGTTTTGCTAGGCAAAAGTAAAATATTTTTCCCAATTGCTGGTCTGGGACTGACTTTAAACAAATTAAATGTTATATGGTAAAAGATATCTAATTTTTTTATCTGATGGAGCACGTGACCTAAGTAAATAGACCAGCTGGCCCTGAACAGGTCTTTCTGGTGCTGCCCTAACACTTCGCGTTCGCAGACGGACCTGCGTGGGGTGATCGGCTGTGTTCTGGACTCGTGGTCCAGGTTCGTTTAAAATTAGTATTGGAAGCAGGTCCGGTCCACTTTGATGACAGCGGTGACTGACTCCAGTACCTTTCCCGTTGCAGCCGAGTGCTCATTTCTACAGACGTCTGGGCCAGGGGCTTGGATGTCCCTCAGGTGTCGCTCATCATTAACTACGACCTGCCCAATAACAGAGAGTTGTATATACACAGGTAGGCCTGCAAGCTTTCCAGTGGTTTCGCTTCTGTTGATACATTTACTAAGGCTTTTTTGCTATATTCACTAAAGTAATTTTGTTTTATTCCTGAAGAATTGGGAGATCAGGTCGATATGGCCGGAAGGGCGTGGCCATCAATTTTGTGAAGAACGACGACATCCGCATCCTCCGAGATATTGAACAGTACTATTCCACTCAGATTGATGAAATGCCTATGAACGGTGAGAAATAATTTGTTCTTAGGGTTTTGTTTTTGTTTGTTTGAGAAGTCTAGTGTGAGCCCTTAGTTAAATTTACAAGTTTTCATTTTGTTTGTATTTTCTCTCAGTCACTATCTTTTTTCACTTCCAGTTGCCGATCTGATCTGAAGAAACAGTCCTGCTGCACCGTAGATGGGTTGGAGGCTGTTCACCTGTTTTGTACTCCTCTTTGGAAATACTTAGGGGCAGCTTCTGTTAAAGGGGTTTGTGTGAAATCTCTTCTCCTAGTGCCCCCAGGAAAAGCTCCGGGCTCCTGCTGCTGTGTTTTCTTATCCACATGTAAATACTGCATTGCTCTAAGTCTTTTTCATTAAACATTTCAAACTTTTGCCACAAACTCCAGTTTATACTTTTTAAGGTACGACCACCTTTTCGGGTGACTTGCTGTGTAGTCTTGGGCAGGCCATTTCGCTCCGATTCTAGTCTTTGAAATGGGAATGGTAAACTGCCTGGCCTCTCCCTTCCCAGCTGGGTTGGGATCATCTCGATTTCCAGGGTTGGGGGAGCTTGGAAATACTTTGAAGTTTATCAGGTGATTCTAACGTAAGGCATGTGAGATTGTGTCATTTACGAACAGAATTTCCTTTAACTGAAACCGTGACCGGGTCCTTGCCGCTCAGGATGGCCGCAGCCCAGCTGCGCCGCCACGACCGGGTGGGATGCAGGTGCTCAGGCCCTGCCCTGCTGGGGGGAGCTCGCGGTTCACAGGACCCGGTGACGCCGTTCACGCCGGTGTGTCAGGCCCAGGCGGCTTCCTGAGTTCCTGGCAAAGTGATTATGCAGGAACCAGGCACAGGTGTGTTGGGGGCAGTTAGCAGCAGCAGCAGGAATAACACCCACCCGTCACGGCCTGCCCGGCAGCAGTGCGCGTGCGGGCGCGGGTTCCCTCGCTGGGACCTGCACGGCCTCAGCGGGACCTGCTGTCAGCTCACAGACGAGGAGCCGGCCGGGAATCCCACCGGCAACCCGGCAACCCAACCGAAAAAGCCCCCGGGCCCCGGGGAAACAATCCGGGGTCCGGGAACAACCCGCAAGAACCGGGAACCGGCGAAGAAGGGGCCGGAAAACGGAAAGGGCCTAACCCAACCCAAAACCCGGCCTGGAAAAGGGGGAAAGAAAAAAAAAAACCAAAAAAAAAATCAAGAAAAAGGTCAACCGAGCCAAAAAACGAAAAAACGCAAGGGAACAACGAAAAACGGAAAAACCGGGCCCCCAAAGGCCGAACGGGGGAACCAAGGGCCCGGGTGCTGCTTTCAGCAGGTGCAGACTTCCGGGGAGCGACCCGGCCCTCGGGCAGTCAGGGCGGTGAACGGTCGGTTCCCTTTGAGGGAGCGGTTCTGCTGCGGGCGATAAGGTCAGGGTGGCCCCTGCGGGCACCAGGGGAGGGGGTGTGTGAGGGGGGTGATGGGACATGCGCCTTGATGCAGGGGAGGGGCTGGGGGAGGGCCCTCGTGGAGTTCTGGGGCGCAGTCACGGCCACGAGCCTTGCGGAGGCCAGAGGGAGTCAGCCATGATCTGTGGCGGCTGAGCCTGGAGTTGGGGGTGGGTCTGGTGAGTCTTGCGGGGAGATGGCTGTGTAGACCCTGAGGGGCTTCCCAGGTTCCTGGCAGCCAAGGCAAGAAGAAAGGCCCTGGGTCATGTAACTGAATTACCAAACCATAATCTCACTGCAGAAAGCAGAAATGTATAGTTTTTTAAAAGCCATCCTTAATCTTTCTATCCAAAGATAATCACTTCACAGTTTGATGACTGTCCTGGTGTTTTAACTCATGTGGTACATCTGTATTTGTACATTAAGTATTTTTGACAAAAATTGTAACTCACTTTGCCACTGTTGTGTAATTTAAGTTTTTCACTTAGTAATACACCATAAACATTCCACCATGTTAGAAACTTCTACTTTTCCACCGTGTGTACCAAGCATCCCTTACTTGGGAAGCAGGTTTCCGATACTGTGTGTGCGCACGAGTACGTGATGATCCATTAGGATAAATAACCTTCAGAAGTGGTTTTTTGGATCAAGGTGTATTTTCCAAATTACTTTCCAGAAAGACTTTTGTACCGATTTATACTCCTTTTAGCAGTGTGGGGCCTGTTCCCAGAACCCTGGGTGTCACTGCAGAAATAGAATGGTGATGTTTACACTGTTAGCGTATTTATAGTAAGATTTAAAGACTGCTTAAAACAAAAGCAACAACACTTACAGAAGTAAAATATATGACAAAATAGCACGAAGCCAGAGAAAGGCACAGGCGTGCACTGTCAAGATTCTTTGCTTGAAGGCAGATTGTGATGAATTAAAGATGAGTGACGCATGTAAAACTAAGTGATTTTTAGGTATGAGCCCTCAAGCAGTCAAAAAAGTGAAACAGAGATAGCCAACGTAGGAGACAAAATAGAATCTGAAACAACATTTGGTCGGAAAGAGCTGAGAAAGAGAAACAGAGCGGATGCGGCGGATGGAGAGGGGACGAGAGGCGAGATCAGCACGGCCGCGTCTGTAACTCCAGCAAATGGCACCTGTCCGCCTGCGGCGACGGAGAAGAGCAAGCTAAGCCCAAGGCAAGCGGAAGGAGGGAATGATAAAGGCGAGAGTAGGAATAAAGAAAGAAAAGCAATGGAGACAATTAAAACCAAAAGTTGGTCCTCTGTAAAGATCAACAAAGTTGACGAGTCTTTAGTGAGACTGACCAAGAAAAGACGGTTCAAGGCACTCCGGGATGAGGGGTGCTACTACCGTTGACCCAGGATACGAAGGGTGTAAGAATAGTATGAATTACATGCAGACAAATAGATAACCTTGATAAAACGGACAAATTCCTGGAAAAAACAACCAGGACCGACTCAGCGAGAAATTGTCACAAAATCGGAACAGACCCACAGGTAGGAAGGCTGACGTGAGTGTCCCCACAACAAAGAAAAGCCTCGGCGTGAATTCTACTACACCTTTAAACAATTTTCACACACCCTTTAGAACACACGAGGGATCACTCCCAACTCACCCTGCGAGGCCGCGGTACCCGACACCGAGACAGACGTCACAAGAAAGGAGAACTGCAGCAGGTGCCCAGTGCACTGGGAGAACAGGGCCCCCCGCCAGTTCTGCCCACTTGGACCGTCTGCTCTTGCCACCGCCCGTGCCTGGTGACGCAGCTAGGATCACTGTTGTGGCATTCGCTGGTTCCTGACGTCACACGCAGTTGTTCGGGAGCCCGAGGGAGCAGCAACGCCACAGCAGCTCTGCTAGCTTGAGCTGCATTTCACTACCCACACCCCCAGGCCCCTGCAGCTGGCCCACCTGTCCAGTTAGAGCCTCTTGCCTGGCTTTCCCTCTGGCCACCGCCCCCACCAGGTCTGGAAGGGCAGGCGGCGTAGGGGACCCTGCCTTCTAGCTCCTCTGTGGGCTTCCAGGGTCAGGAAGAACAGAGATGAGGCCCGCGGCGGCCACTAGAGGGCTCCTCTGCAGGCGACACAGTCGATTGGTGGTGTCTGGTTTGCACCACGGAGGGCTGCCAGTAGCTTGGACACACTTGGGGCTGCCTGGGACGGCACCCCGATCCCTCCTGCGAGTGGGCAGGAGGGTGGACGTCTTCAGAACACCAGGGACCCCCGGCCCCACACCAGGCCCCTAATGTCTGACACTCTAAGATTCCCAGCTGGTTTCTAACATCAGCCCCAGGCTTCCTGACCATTCGCCACCAGTCGGGGAAAGAGAGCGTTTCCGTTAATTTATGCCAATGTATAAAGGAGAGGAGAAACATCTCCACCCCAGGACTGGCTACTACATAATTCGCAGGGCCCCTTGCTAAAAAGTTACCAAGAATTTCAAGATGGAGACAGTGGACCGTTAAACCCAGCCGCGCCCTCTGAGCTCGGGCCCTGTGGGCCTGCGTGGGTCACACGCGTGAAGCTGGCCCTGGCCGCGGGCCCAAACTTCGACCAAGAGCATTTCGTCCCCAGCAACAGGCCTTGCTCTGGGGGCCCAGCTGGGAAGAGAGTGCGGGGGCTGGGCCGTGAGACCCGGGGTGTCTTCCCCCAGGGCACAGGGTGGGTGAGAACCTGGGCCGAACTCACCGCCAAGGGCGTCACTTGGGGACAGACCACTGGCCTCTGCCCAAGGCCCTGTCCACGTGGGAGGCCCTTCTGAGGTCCTCAGGGCCACACGGCCCCGGGGGTGGGGCCACACCTCCCACCTATGCCTCTGAGGCCAGGCCCAGGTGGACCTTCTCCAGTCACCTGAGATGGGCGAGGTGGGGACCTGCGTGACGTGGGGCACGCGGGAGATGTGAGTGACACAGTGTGGGGCGAGGCGGAGACGTGAAGGATGAAAGATGCTGGCTTCAGAGAGGCAGAGCACGGCACGCCCCCAGGAGTGTCCAGGGCCGGTCGAGGGGCTGCCTGTTGCCCAGCCGTTGGGTACACCCTCCCCGCCCTGAGTCCCAGAAGAGCCAGCAGAGGAGGGCTCCCAAATGCCCCTTTATTAAAAACAATTGCACTTAAAAGAGTAAGGGTCGCCCGGGCCTGCGAATTCTCCCGAGGCTCATCCCAGGCCTGGCAGGCAGCTTCCGGGGGAGCCTGTGGGGACAACAGCTCCGTCCTCTCACTGGGTCACAGCAGGCTCGCGGCTGGACCTCACTCCCCGCCCCAGCACCTCCTCTGGTGTCAGGGACAGAAAGCGGGTGGTGGGCTGGGGGACACGAGCCTTTCAACACCCGACAGCGCAGCCCCGGAGCGCACCGCAGCTGCGGGATCTGGGGGGCAAAGCTCAAACCCCGACCCCAGGAGGTAGACAGGACGGGCAACGTGAGCATTCAGGGGACAGCAGGCGCCAGGCTCGGGAGACCCAAGGCACGTCCACAGCCGCCGGGAGCGCCAGGCTCTGCCTCGTGGGGAAATCAGCCTCCCCTATAAGGATCACCCGGCTGCCACCGGCTAAGACCAACTGATGAGAAATTGCTCCCCCATGGACAGCGAGACGGGGACGTCCAGAATCTGGAAAAGAAAGAAGAAAACCTGAACCTAACAACCCCCGACAAGAGCAAGACTGCTGGGACTTGGCGGATGGGGGGATGTGGGCGTGGGTCTGTCCGGCCCTGGGGAGGCCGCCTGTCCTGTTCCTGCCCAGCCGGCGTGGGGGACTGTGGCTCTTGGCACCCACCGGCCACCTCCCTGAGCCCAGCTGGCGTCACCCTGAAGGCAGTCGCAGGGAGAGGACAGGCGCAGCTCCTGTGGCCTGACCTGCCCACTGCTCCCCGAGGACCACGACCCTCTTTCCCTTGCCAGGCCTCAGTGCCCCCGCCCTCACCCACCCCGGGGAGTGAGAGCCCTCTT